CATGAAAGTGGCAAGACATTAATTAAATGTATCAATTATACAAGTATAAGGGTATCTAAGAAGATTGGAACATTGGAGTTTCCTCATTAAGTTTATAAAAACCATTTATTAAGGTATAATGAATTTACAGAGAGAGAAGCTTATAGCTTTGTAATTACGATAGAAATGTATATTATAAATTGGATATACGGTAGACGATAATAATAAAGGACCTCGTAATATTTTTTTTCATTTTATCTTAAAAAAAAAAAAAAAAAAAAAAAAATAAGGAAATCACTCGAATTATTATTAGACCACGAATATTTATAGAATTTTATGAATAATACAATTGAATTAAAATCTTTAAATTATTTTTTGCACGTCATATAATACTAATACAAATAAACTATAATAAACTAGCGCTATTAATAATCGAGACTGTTCATAAATTTGAAAGCTAACCTCAAAAAGATAGACGCCAAGAACAAGAAAAAATATCGAGAGAAAATTATTATTTTAAATTCGAATCGATAAGTTTCACTCGATTTTAAAATAAAGGAAGCTGAAATTTTACCACGCGTATGAACTTATCACCACACTTCAACATTATACCTTGTATCGATTCGACCAAGAGAAACATTTTACCGTAGCAAGATGTCTTCACCCAACGTCGTCCATAAAGTAGATAAAAACGCGGAGGCAGCGATCCGTTGGTAAAAGCCTCGCTCCTCGATGATGGCAAACACACTCGATGGTAAAAAGAAGAGGAGGGGGGGGGGAGGAAGAGAGAAAAAGAGAGAGAAAGAGAGACTTTCTTCGTACTTCCGTGAAACATGTATGGGAAGCAAGTGAATCGAGAGAGACGAAGAAACAGGGATCTTTGGAAAGAAACAATTCGTTTTAAACGTCGACCGGATAAAATTTACGGTGGTTAATGTAATAATCCCTCCTAAGTGAGAGTTTGATATAGTCTCGCTGCTTCGAAAAGAGGAATTGTATAAAGAGTTCCTTTCAAACGAGAACAGTTGGATATAAGGAGAAATATTTTTGATAAATGTTGTTTTCGTATCTATATTAATTAATAATCTAAATGGAACTATACAAAATGAATTTCTCAAAATAATTTTTCAATTGTGATGGTTATTTCTGTATTCTCATTCTATCGTATAATTTTGAATTATTGATTTCACGCGAAAAAGAATTTTTCCACATTTCTGAGTATTTTTGATCTCATTCCGTTTTATCCTTGTTCATTGTATTCATCGAAAAATCTCAATATCCTCCATTGAAAAGAAATTCTTTTCGATTTTTCACGCGATATATTAATCGATTTTTTTTTTTTTCTTTTTTCGACAACTTTTGAAAATCCCATCACTGTTCCACTGTTCAAAGATTTAAACATTTTGCACAAAAATTTCTTCCGTGCCCGACTTATCCTCAGCCGAGCAGAATAATCTTCTTAGTCCGATATCGTTTCGCATTTTTACCCCCATCACGGGGGTGGGCGTGTAAGACTGGAAAGAGATGAGGAGAGGGAGAAAAAAATAAAAGAAAGAAAGAGAAAGGAAGGAACAATGGCGGGGAAGGAAAAACGCAGTGGCCTTCTAAACAAAGGAAAAAATAGAGGGGGATAGGGAGAAGGGGAGGAAGGAATGTAAGTAAAAATAGAATAGGAGGAATAAAGGAAGGAAAAGCTGGCCGTTGGGACCAGAACGCGTTCCCATTGTGTGTATGCGCGCGGATGCATATTATCGTTGGCCCCAATAACCTCGCGTGGTGTTCGATCTGAACGAAAATATGTATGCACGTGTAAGAAAAAATGACGAGAGATTGATACTTTACGAGTATTTATTGCCATATCGATCGCGAATGGATTTTTGATTGGTTCGTTAGAATTTTTTTAATATCGCGCCTCGAGTTTGATTGATCGTCTTGATTTGACATTATTTTTAATTTTTAGGCGAATAAATTATTGCATAGTGCTTCGCGTGGATTTCGTTTTTTAAAGCGGAATGATGTTTTTTTTTAATGTGGTCAATAATCTTATTACATTTAGTATTTCTTTAAGCAGGTTTTGATTTTTTTGAAGAAGAATTTGACCAGTGATGACCCTTTTTTTTAACTGTGTTCGTTAATCCTGGTAGATTTTGATTTTTTGGGGCAGAAATTGCATCGAAGTGATAGAGAGGATCCATCATATTTCTTTCAGATTAGAATCTGACATAATAGATTGGCCATTTTGACTAAAAATTTATATATAGATAATGGAGGTTGATAGCGATGCATTGACAAAGATTGATATGTTGCGATATCCAATAGTTTTCTAAAAACATCGTGACAATAAGATAAAATTTGGTTAATTATTCTTTGGATAAAAATTATAAGAATTGTCTTAACTATTAAAAAAAAAAAAAAATACTCTAAATTTCTTTAAGATCTCAAAAAATTTGTGCATCAAATTTAAATTCTAATTTTATTCTTATCGCCTCAAAATCCCTATACAAAAATTATATCTAATTACTACCAAATCTAGACTACATATAAATATATTTCAATTGAAAATTATCAATTCCAAAAAAAAAAAAAAAAAAAAACAAAAAAAAGGCAAAATCATATTTCATTACATTCTGACTATAATTTACATTTTTCAGACGAAACATGGAAGAGACGCGGTTCTCCTGTTCACTTCCATATAAAACCCTCCTATATACGCGTACACGGAACAGTGACCAGCTTGGCAGTGCTTGGACCGATCGATTTTTCAGTATTTCCGCGTGTATCGATACCCTCTCGTCCGCGGTTCCCTTTTTTTCCCCCTCCCTCTCTCATTCTCTTTCCTCCGCCATACTACTCTTTCCTCCAAGTCATACTACTCTTCCTCTCCAACCTTGCTAAGTGGATTATCATCGTTGGGGATTTCGAGCGTCGGCCTTTGACGTAACGAGAACGACGAGTGCGAGGAACGGTGGCGCGAGTTCGAAGGCAAGGCGCGCATGTCGATGCTCAAGGCAGCCAATGGACTGGTTGAAATATTAAACGGGAGCAAAGACCCTGTTCTCGTGCACCACGTAGCCATGGTTCAATTTCTACGCCGGAGGCGGTCGAACGACGACGACGATGGCGGCGGCGGCGGCCTAGGTGTGAGGAGAGGGGTTGAATGAAAATAGACGACGACACAGGGTGAAACGAGGTGGGTGGCGGTTGGGATAGAGACGATAGGAGAGTCGAGAGTTAGGATTTCGACGACACTACCAGCGACATCTACATTTCGCGACTGGCTGCAGGGACGCAAAAAGAAGAGGGACGCCTCCCCACCATTCGGCCGCGCATGCGCAACCCATGAAATCTCGGCCCGCATTCGAAGTATAACACGAGGAAATTTGCCGCTTACTGTGTATAAAATGGTTCCAAATCGGTGGTATTCTTGGATTTTTGGTAAAGATATTCTCAATATTCTTTTTTTCTTTTTCAAAAAAATATGTATTGTATTTAATTTTTTTTAATTTTATTCTTTTTAGTTTGGAAAATTAACGTAAAGCATAGGTTACGTGACAAATACGTGACTTTGGAATATAGGTAGGTATAATACAATCGTTAAAATCGTTAAAATTTTTAGATCAAAATTTTTAATCGATATATATGGTATAATTTTTATTAAAGAATTTTTAATAACATTTGATTTTTTTTATCTTTAATTTTGTTGTATATAATTTTATAATTCTTTTTACTTATTATTTATCTTTTGATGAATTTGGCAAATTCGAAAATGAATATTCTTTTCGTTTAATAATGCAAAGGAAATTGTAGGAGTATACGTACAATATAAATGTACACGTAAATTGAACGTGACCTTAAAAACTTATAAAATGTCATCACGTAAAGGTCAAGTGATTAAAGTTAAAACTCTTGGTATCCATAGAATAAAAATCTTGTAACAAAACATGTTATAATTAATCGATATAGAAGGAAACATAGCGATTTCTAAAAAAAAAAATATATATATATATATATAAAATCTTTAAATATTTAAAATATCTTTATTCTTAAAAAATGCACTCCATGAAAAAAGCAAATAAACGTCTGCACGAAAAGCATCGCCTCCAATGCACCATTTGAAACCATTTTACTTCGTTCTCCTCATACCAAATGCACGAACATGCAAATTCTCTTTTTAAGTACGGACGTGGAATTTTTTATTTTTAATTTCAGACTGCAATCCGGAAGTTAAACTCTGAAGTAAATACCGACCTCAATCTTATATCTTACGTTTAAAAATATAAATTTTCATAAGTAATTCGTACCTCTGGTATAGAGGATTTAATTTCATTTAAAAAAAATTTCATCTTTTATCTTACAACATTTTCATCGCGTTTTTAATTCCGAAACATCTTTCCATTCAAACTATCAACTTTCACGGGTAACCAAATTCACATCTCTCGCGTAAGAGCAAAAATTTCGACCAAGGAATTTTATTCCACCATCTTCTACCATTTTTTTTTTTTTTTTTTTTTCACATAGATCATCCTATACATCACGTAACTGACGTCTCGTAAAATATCTATCAATTCGAAATATTTTTTCCAACAACTTCTTTTTTTTATTCTCTTGTATTCTAAACCCATACAATTATTTCACTCGCGTGAATCACTCTGTACATCTGTGAATCTCAAATATCATCTTATCTTCTGGATCTCTTTTCACCGTGTTCCTTGCTACGATTAACTGTGAGAGGAGAAGGAAGCAACTATATTGTGTATAGTACGATTAAGAAAATTCGACGAAGCGTTAGGAGTGGGAGAATGGTCGAAGAGGAGGATTAGCAGCATTGTATAGTAACGACGGGTGTTCGTTTTCGGCTCAGGCATGATAGAACAAGCGAAGTGATGACGAGTACGTACGTAGTGGACGATTTAAGGGGGTGTTTTGGGGTGATGATTATGCGGTCTCGAGAAAGTTTAGCTGAGTGGAAGGGGATGTTTAATAGGGTCGCGTTGCAGTGTCAGTTTTATTAATGCGATGAAGTGTGTCGTTAAAAGTATCCGGGGGATTATTGTTGCCTTGGAGGGTTCCGCGTGATTGTGATAATAATGCAAATTCGATCGAGTTTAATATACGAAAATTAACAAGTGGTGGTGGAATTATTACTTGTACGAGATTGTGAAATTGTAAAAATATTATTTTTTATTAACATAGAATTAATTCCAAGGTGAATTAACGAATCATCGAGCTTTCGTTCGTAATCATTCGATACTTCGATATTTAATTTGTGAAATTGATCACGATATAAATTTTTTATTGAATAAATCTAAATGTAGATTTTAGTCTAAATCTGTATGAAATAAATAAAATTATCTTCTTCGAATTTTCAACTTGCCAATACGAATCATCGAGCTTTCATTCGTAATCATTCGATATATTTAATTTGTGAAATTGATCACGATATAAATTTTTTATTTGAATAAATCTAAATTTTAATAGATTTTAGTCTAAATCTGTATGAAATAAATAAAATTATCTTCTTCGAATTTTCAACTTGCCAATACAATTTTCACAGTTAAATAAAATTCAAAATTCATTTGATCTATGGCCAACCTAGTACAATCCATTTTTCCATTTCGATCTCAACGGAATCTTCTATCCTGCCAGCAATGCATGCAATGCAATTAGAAATTAACCCGAACCATCCTAGGATATTCAATAATACGATATATCAATACGCGTGATTGGCAATTGCGGTTTGCTCGAAACACCTGTGTAAGATAGACCGACCACGATATACGTGGATTAATGCCCCCCCTCAACCATGGATAGATACGCGGAAAATTGCTTCTCGTGCAACAAGAAACCGCTAAATGCGCCCGAACGTCACCAAGAATAGAGTTTCCGAATATCGGTGCACGAGATGTTATCCAAACTTGAAACCGAAACTATCTCGTAGATGGGCAAAATTTTAAATAGTTGAAGTTGTTACCGAAGTTGATAAAGTTACTTGGATCAATTTATTATTACACGCGTGGACGAATTAATGAAGAAATGGATAGCATTTTAAGTAAGTAATTAACGCGAACTATCACTTTATTCGAAACTTATTTTTTTAACTACTTTTTCAACGGCTAATGTACAGTATAATGGATTGTAGAACGATACTTTGGCAGAAAATTTTCTTTTCTTTTTTTTTTTTTTTTTCGCAATAAAATAACTAAAATTTGAATTTTCGAAAATAAGAATTGGAAATTATTGTATCAATCGATTTCATTCCCTCCAAGTGATATATTTTATTCGATTGATAAAATAATTAAAAAGTTGCATCATAATTGATCTAACTTATGATGATACGAAGAAATGGAATGGAATTTTAAAGGATTGATTTCATTGATAAAAAAAATTCTTCCATACATAACCTATATTGCGATGCACAAAACGAAATCATTGTTGGATTTTGTAGCACAATTTATTCGTTGAACTCGCGTATAAAGAGGGATTCACTTAAGTAGTTTCTTTAAAAGTTTTGTGACCCGTTTCGAAAACTACTCGTGAAAATAAATTGAAATCGATATCTTTCGAGTATGAAGTTCTATTTTCGAGGATATAACTGTGTATTTTTAAATTCGATTATTTTTTTTTTTTTTTCCCCTCTCTTTTTTCCCTTTTCAATTTATTCGTTATCCGATTGGTGAAGAGAGATTGAAGCAAACTTTAAATCCAGTGTTCATCTATTTTCACTCCATCCCCCCTCCCCCTCCCCTTTTGGATTCGCGCTTCGAGCTTTCTCCGTATTTTACGATTTGTCTTTCTTTATTTCGATGGTTATACTTCTGAGAAGATACCCTTATTCTCAAATTCTCGCTGTCAATTTTTCAAATATTATATCTCGTAACACGTTAAACTAAATTTACGATAAAAAGAAGAAAAATTCAATTTTTTCGAAAGGATCGTGATACTTCAGTTGAATTTTCTATTTTATCGATCTTTTATTTCAGATCGTATTTCTAAGATATTAAAAACAATGTAAAAAAAAAATTTCTTGAAAGATATTCCTCTTAATGTCTCTTTTCATGTATTGCGGCAATTTCAAATTATTCGAAATAATTTTGTTCGGCTATGTAAACAAAATCTAATACGTCAAATAAATTTGGCAAACAAGTATTTTATATTATCCACGGGATATAATCTCGTCGGGAATGATAAATAATAGTATGTGATAAATATTTGAACAAAACGATTTCACCTAAACTGAATGGATACTATTTTATCTTTCATTTTTCTTTCTTTCTTTTTTTTCTTCTTCTCTCCTTTTTAATATTATTTTTATCGTCATCGCAAATATCCATGCGTTTCACAGAGTAAATCGAGCTGGCCATTTCGATGGTTACTTTGCGCGACTGAAAATCAAAGGAAGTAATTGACACTGTGGCGAAAGTGGTATTTGTTGAAAAACCGCGAATTTTGGAAGCATGTGAAAAAGGATAAATCGAATCGTGTGTCGGATAACTTTGTGAAAAGTTTTTGATCGATGGCTGTCGTCGAAAGTAGATCGATTTAAATTTCGCGCTTAACTTCACGGATCTTGGCGATAGAGAGAAATCGAATGTAAGAAAAGGATAGATAGAATTAGAAAAGAAAATTGTTTAAAAAGTTTTATCAAAAAGTACAAATACTTTATTTTATAAAGTATACAATTGAATAGCATACATCAATTATAAAGTATCGGAAATAAAAATATCCTCGTTCCAATAATTTATTTATTCCCCTATTATACGCGTCTATAAAAATGAAATAACAGTTACGATAAAAAATAACGTCGATTATATTTCACAATTTAGTTTAAACAATTATTTATCCTCAAATTAATCAAATCTTTCATCAACATTCTTCCATTCCATGTATAATTTTTCGCAATTGTCTCTTTCTCTTACTTACCGCTAGTTCCTTAAAATGTCCCTATACAATTTCTCACTAGGGAACCAGAACGTTCGAAACTTTGATCGGTAATTTACGAACACGGAACATCGTTAGCGCTTCCCCCTCTACTTTCCTCGAATCAACTTCTGCGTTCACCAGCCGCGCATAATTCATTCGCGTGTTTGACGTATGTAATAATAGAAACAATGGGACAACGGGGCACGGTAACGCGACAGCAATAACTCATCCGCTGTCCCTGCGCGCATAACTCCTCGGCTTGGCTATCTTTTGAGACACACCGTCGTTGCGCGTTGTTGATTAATCAAACCGAATAATCTGGTCGAGCTGAATTCAAATAATACACCAACCCCCTCTCCTTCTCCTTCTATCGCATTCGACCACGCCGGTGTAAACATTAATAATCAACGATAGCGAGATGGGGATAGGTTGGTTGTACGTGCAATGAATTTGATCGTGATCGCGATCGTGGAGAAAGTAATTTGGATAAATTATTTTTCAACGAATGAAAATTACTCGTATTTTGTTTCATCAAGTGTATAGAGATGTTTTTACAAGTTTTATGAAGAAGAAAAATTAAAGTGTTAACCAATTTTTCTTGGAGAATATTACGAGAACGAAGAATTAAAGTGGTTAGTTTAGCAAAAACTTAATATTAATTTAAATTTATCTTGGTAAATCATCATATATGCATAAAAATTGAACGGGTCTTTTTTTAAATAAATTTATTCAATATTGATCTTAGTTTAAATATTTTAGATACACCAACAGTGGTAGTTTAAAGCTATATATACTCATAATTACATATCTAAGTATCATAGTGGTGTAAGCTTACTTGATAGTCAATATAATTTTACGTCGTATAATTTACTCACTTATTAAATACAATTCGATCGACAAAATATAAAAAAAGAAGAAACCACCAAAATCAAAGAATATAAAAATGTGTAAAATATACAAAAAAAAAACTGTCCTTTTTTAAATTTCTTAAAATACGTCATATCTTACACCATTACGATTCTCAGTTCGACATAGGTTCAATTTCGTGTCGGGTGGAATAATAATATACAATTTGTAGAAGAATCCTTCACGGTTAGAAAAAAAGGAACGTTTGATGCAGGAATATCGCGAATCCATAAACGCGTCTGCGCGTAATAAGTCGATGCAATTTGTACGTTCTTTATTGGATGCATTTGTATTTGGTTAATTACATTGTTACACGGCGTCGGCCATTACTTCGACGCGGCAGAGTTAATGGGACGATAATACACTTTTCGTAACTTGCTCCGCCGCCATTCGGTCTGCGCCTGAAACACGCACCAACGAATTTCTCTCTCTCTCTCTCTCTCTCTCCTCTCTCTTTTTCTCTCGGTACAAATATTTTCTATTCGAACGAAGTTTCAACTTCATTTCGATTTTTCTCACGCGAGTCAATCATCATCGGTTTAGTTTTGTTTCAATTTATTTCAACTTTTTTTTTTTGGATTAAGTTTTTCTTTTTTTTTTTTAATAAAAATAATAAATATAGAAAGAAAAATAAAATTTAATTTTTATTCGAAGAGAAATTTGGTTTAATGAAATTTCTTAGCATGGTGTTTCGAACATGCTTTAGAAGTGAATCGATCAGTAAATTTATGTATAGTAATTTAATACTTTAGGAAGTATTGTTTTCAATATCGGGAATGATGAAAATTGCTTCATGGAAATTTTCAAATAATAATTTTGCAAAATGTTAAAAAAGATTTCTATATTATTATCCAAGTGAAATACTGAGATCTTCAAAGTTTTTATAATAATTGACCTGTTTGATAAGTAGTTTGATTAATTTTTTTTTCTACAATCTTGGTAGTAAAAGTAAAAATAAAACTTTCCAAGAAGCCGTTTCATATCTTGAAAGTAAACGAGAGAAGACTAATACTACTTGCCAATATTTCTTATTACTCAATTATATTTCGAAACATTTCCCTCAACTTTTTCCAACATTGCAGATCGATTATCTCGTTTCATTCTAGCTTACATTTTGTTTTTACAAATTTGACTAACATTCACGACTCTATAAAACCAACGAACTCACCAGCATTTTTGAAAAATTATCGAGCATTCATGTAAAAATATTTTCAAATTATAATCAAATAAAATCAAATATCAGATTTACAATTTTTATTCCCAACCAGTCCACACCATTTGCTTAATTCAAAATAATCCTATAAAATCTAGTCTGAAATAATAACTTTTCTTGTTTTCTAAAAAAAAAAAAAAAAATTACAAATATCATATCCTCGATATCATTATTCTCCACTGGTATCTGTCCATTATGAAAAATAAAAATAAAATCCGGATGTTCTCCGCCATTAGCGACCCCCCCCCTCTCTCACCGTGCACGACCGCCATAGTTGTTGTCTGGCGCGAGCAGAAAAGTTTCCAGACACTTTTAACACCCTCGGGCGGGATATACTTCAAGTTCACGCGACGTATATAACCGCGCGAATTTCCGCGAGTTCGCCCTAATTAACAAGATGAAAATCGCTTTCGTCCCTTCAGGTCGCGGTTAGATACCACCTTTTGATCGTTTTTAATCCAATTTTCAGAGCCACGGTCTCGCCTCGCTTATTATCGCGCCGTGAGATCTTGTTTCTCCCCTCCATTCCCCCCCCCTCCAAATATTCGTTTCTTGAGATGAATTCCATTTTAAACTTCTAACCCCTTCCCCCCCCCTCTGGTCGAGGTTGAATGGAATTTAAGTTGTCACACGGCCGGTGGATGAGCATCATACGTCTTATCCGCGTGATATATTCTATCTATTAACCGTTGCATTGTTAAAAATGAAAAGGCAGCGAGCCAAGGCCCCTGTAATTGCGGAGGAGAATCCTATTGTGGGGATCGTGGATGATGATAAGAGATAGGGGATGAAGAGGGAGTATTGAGAAGAGGTGGACTTATGGTAGTTGTATTAGTTGGATTAGTTCCTGCAGAAGGCAGAGGTGAGTATTGCGAATGAGGAATAATGGGGGAAAAAGATTAAAATGTTTCTTTTTTTTGTGAATAATTTTGATTCGTTGATTATTCTTTGTTGTTGGAATAATTTGATATTGATATTGGAGTGAAATAATAGAGACACAAATGAGAAAGAATGATGAAATGTGTAAGTTGTGTTGGTTTCAGAGCTGAGTTGTTGTAGGAATAGATGAAATTGTGATTATAATGATTTAATATTTTTTTTTTTTTGTATATAAAAAGATAATTTTAATCTATTATATCTTTTCTACTTATTGAAATAGTTTTTGTTCGATATTGATAATAAATATAGATATTTCAATGAATATAAATGACACAAATGCAAATATTGAAAATACAGAAGATATAGTTTTTTTTTTTCTTATTAATTTTCACTGTTAGATGAAATAGTAATAATTTCAAGCTAAAAGTCGATATATTAATTTATTATTATATTTTTGATAAAGAAAAATGTGAGATATATTTCTACTTTTCATCAGGAATAATTTGACACGTCGAGATAAAAAATTGAAATTTTGCAGTTTCGTCATCGTTGTTTTGAACTTGAGATTTTCCTAATTTTCTAAATTCTATTTTTTTATATTTTTATTTAAAAACTAATTAATATTATAATCTCTTAAAAGAGATTTTATATAACCACTTTAAAATTATAAAGTCTCGTAACAAACTTTTATTTGTTATTGAAAATAACTTTTTACCTAACATTGATTACAGTTTCTTTCAACCTATTACAGTTCTTAACAAACGACAATTTGTAATCTGAAAGAATTTATAATCACTTTGAAGCTTTAATTGTAAAGCTTCTAATAATATTTTTCTTTTTTCTTTTTCTTTTTTTTTTTTTTTTTACTAAAGTTTATACAAACTCAGAAATCACTCGTGTGAAAATATTCGAGCAGAAGAACATAATAATTAAAAGAACATTTTCGATTAACTGTATAAAAATATTATTAAACTACTTTCAAGTAATGAAACGATGAATCTTTCATCTAATTAACAATGAATATCTACGGGGAAGAAAAGAGTTCCATTTTATCATATGAATTTTTAACATTACTTCCTCTAAGATAAATTTGAATCTCGTAACGAAATCATATTAAAATTTTAACGCGAGAAAGTAGTCCGTCAAAGTAGATTCATGCTTACGTGTTTCTATTTTTATGAGAGGAGGAAAAACTGGAAGGCTAGACATAAACAAAAAAAAAAAAAAATTAAAAATCCTCTTAATCTTAAAAATAATTAATTTAATTATTTAAAAGAATTTTTTTCTTTACGTCTTACCTCAGGCCTTAACAGCTTGTTGATGCAATTGATTTTACTGCACAGAATCTCCAATTCTAAACGTTCCTTGCAAAGCTGTCGAAACACACAAATAGAGAAAGTGAGGTTAGGTCGCGTAACTTCACCGTAAGGGGAGAGAAATTTATTCGAGAATAGAACCAACCATTTTCTTCGTCTTCTCTTGAAACACATCGGTCTGCTGGAGCTGGAAATCAGAAAGCAATTTACCATTTACCGTAACTATATTGTTTCACCGCGTTGTTCCTCGTACTACACCATTCCAACTTATCCGAAGGCAAAACAACGGAATGCACTTTCCACATGGTGCGCATCGACTGGAAAACAAACTTACGTGCTTATGAATACAAAAGTTTATACAAACTCAGAAATCACTCGTGTGAAAATATTCGAGCAGAAGAACATAATAATTAAAAGAACATTTTCGATTAACTGTATAAAAATATTATTAAACTACTTTCAAGTAATGAAACGATGAATCTTTCATCTAATTAACAATGAATATCTACGGGGAAGAAAAGAGTTCCATTTTATCATATGAATTTTTAACATTACTTCCTCTAAGATAAATTTGAATCTCGTAACGAAATCATATTAAAATTTTAACGCGAGAAAGTAGTCCGTCAAAGTAGATTCATGCTTACGTGTTTCTATTTTTATGAGAGGAGGAAAAACTGGAAGGCTAGACATAAAACAAAAAAAAAAATTAAAAATCCTCTTAATCTTAAAAATAATTAATTTAATTATTTAAAAGAATTTTTTTCTTTACGTCTTACCTCAGGCCTTAACAGCTTGTTGATGCAATTGATTTTACTGCACAGAATCTCCAATTCTAAACGTTCCTTGCAAAGCTGTCGAAACACACAAATAGAGAAAGTGAGGTTAGGTCGCGTAACTTCACCGTAAGGGGAGAGAAATTTATTCGAGAATAGAACCAACCATTTTCTTCGTCTTCTCTTGAAACACATCGGTCTGCTGGAGCTGGAAATCAGAAAGCAATTTACCATTTACCGTAACTATATTGTTTCACCGCGTTGTTCCTCGTACTACACCATTCCAACTTATCCGAAGGCAAAACAACGGAATGCACTTTCCACATGGTGCGCATCGACTGGAAAACAAACTTACGTGCTTATGAATACAATTGTAGATCGGCCTGATGTCTGCCACGCTTTTTTTCCGGGGAATTTTCTGCAAATTAAACTTATTTATTAATAATACATCTGTGTATCTCTGATTTTCTTCTAAAAAATTGCCCATGAAAAATACCTTATTTGTTTCTTTTTGAAGCTCCTGAAAATCCTTCTCGTTCGAGTTGGTCGCTTTTTCGTTCTGAGAAGTGCATGCAAGAATTAAAAAGTAAGTATTTTTTTTAAACGAAATATTATCGAGATCAACAAATTTGTACTTATTTAAAAATATCTCGAGAAAGGGAATGACGAAACATTTTTATCGACGATAATAAATTTATCAATGTCGAAAGACGATTATAATTATTATTACTTTTTTTTTTAACAAAAAAGCGAGATTTTAAAAATATTATAAAAAAAAAAAGAAATTGGACGAAATTCTTTTCGCAAGAATTGTTACTTAATCTAATCTAGCCAAGCATAACCTTAAACTTTCATCGTTCCGTGAAACTCACGCGATAACTCTCTTGTATACACAAAACGTTGAAAGGAATAAAAAAAAAAAAAGGAACGAAGAGGTACTCGTAAATGAATTAAGATTTCATTTCGTGACAACGTATCTGTATATACAGCCACTTCGTGATTTAATGCTTCGTTACTCTACAATTGTCCCGTTTAATTCGCGGCCGATTTATTCGTCTGGATGAACGAAAGGCAGACAGATCGATAACAGTGGAGAAAAGTATCGTCGACAAGGTGTCTCGCAATTACGATTGTTCGATTTGCATCCTTTCTTCGTTTTCTTTCCTTCTCTTTTCGTTTCTTTTTTTTTTCTTTTCTTTTCTTTTAACTTTTTAACCTCCTTAAACGTTCTGATTAGCGAAAAGATCGAAATTTCTATCGATGTTGAAACGGTGAGAAAGGTTAATTTGATCAGGCACGAAGTTGTCAGCATATCGGATTCGACATTATTTAGCTCGGTTTCCATCGGATTTCGGAGTGTTCTTCACTTTTAAAGTAACGACTTCTCTGTTTTTCTTCCCGAGAAATGATCGATTCCTGTCTCTTTAATTTTCAAAGACGAGCAAGTATTTTTGAAATATTTCATTCATTGGATCTGTTATCGATTGGCATTATTAGATGTTTAGTGTTTTTAGATTGAAAGTATTAGAGTGATTAATTAATTTAACGAAAATGCACAACTTTGAAAGATTTGACACTTTTGCTCTATCTATAGGAATTAATTTATTTTAATTAATAAAATGTTGATGATTTTTCCTCCTCGTAATTACACACACACACACGTTTCATTCATATCTTTGAATCAAAAAATCTACAAAAAATATTACGACTAATTAATTATTCGATATTACAATTTTTTTTTTAATATAAATCGAAAAAAAAGACTCACGAAATTATAAATTAATTCTCTCGCAAGATATTGAATGAAGGACAATTTGTTCGCGAAACTTGAATATGCGATGATTATTATTACATCAAAAAATTATTCTAAAAAAATATTTTACCATCGAAGAACAGGATAATAATATAAATTTCCGGCAAGAAGGAACTTTCGTCGTAAAAATGAATGCGACTTACTATGTATGAATAGAAGAGGAGGATCAAGATCATGAGTCCAGTTATGAACGTAATGGTCCCGCAGAACGGACCCAAATCGAGCATGTTCCTCAACTTAGCGTCCGTCAGCAGATATTGGTATAACTGGAATAAAGAAGAAGGAAGAAAAAAAAATATTAGGCATTCGAAAAGAGAGGATTTTACATCTTCTTCTTATCCCTTGGCATACCAAGATAAAGACATTTACGAAAAGAGAATTTTTTTTTTTCCTCTGAGAATTTTTAGCAAAGCACGAATTTTAATATAGATCGATTTATTTAATATATAAATTGTAAAAATACAAAAATTATTCGAAATTTATTACTTGCTTCGATTTATCGAGAAATTTCAATTTGTTCAATTTGTGTTTTTTAAATTATAAGCGAATTTTTAAAAAAAGTGAAATTTCTTAACTAAATAGAAGCGATAATTTTTGTATTTTTATAATTCACGAGATGAATCGATTGAAGTATGTCACGTATATAAATTCACGTGGCTCCATCTTTATAATGAAATTCCTTTTAAACTGAATAATATAATCATCGATAAAATGTATCGTTATTATTTCATATTATAACAATCAAGAATTTTCAAGAAATATATTTTTAATAAATTTTCCATTAATAAATTTTCATTATTAATTTTCTAATATTTCTAAAAATAAAAAATTTATTTCTTAAGTGACATTCATGTATTACGATATACAACTTAACCTATAATAAGTAAAAACTTATTGCTAATAACAATCTTAAAAAAAATACTTGATAAACGTTACTTAATAAACAAATTTTTCTCTAATTTTTCATTCCAAACATTTATTCGCAAAATATTATTGGATATTGGGGGGTCTCTGAGTGATCTCACTTTGGTATGCTAAAGGTTAAAAGGAGGATTTTTTACGGACCAGCCATCGTGGCCCAAAATGATAGGTTTTGTAATATCTGTGGATCCTTGCGATTTCCATGACATCGAGTTTTCGTCCCGCGAAGCTGATAATTCGTCGCTATTGTCACGAGCATCACGTGAATTTGGACGGGCCACGAGAATCGAAAAAACTGACAGTTTTTGGCGGATCGTTTGGCATAAAATGATCGACGCGCCCTCTTCAATTTCTCTCCTTGCTGTTCATGTCGTCTTTGTACACGGGATGTCGCGATTTTTCATCGTCTTAGCATCCTACATTACATTATGAGAAGAAAAAGTTGAAAATTTTAATTTCGAAATTTATTCGTAATATTGGAATTTTTAATTAATTGAAAGGTGAATAGTTTTCAAAATAAAAATATATTTCTCTTCTTTTTTAATTATTGCATTCAAGATCGTTTCGAAATTACAATGTATATTATTTTAACCTCTTCAGAGAGGTTATAAGGCATCAAAAGCATCAATTTGTTAAGTATTTTGTAAAATAAAATATTATCGCTGTTTATTATTAAAAGTTCTTTTCTTTCTTTTTATTTAGAATAATTTTAATTTAAAAAAAGTCAAATGTACACATACATATTAATGTTCCTAAAGAGAATAATATCAGCCAAAATTTTTACAAATTTTGCAATCAATTGAAAACTGAATGACTTGACTTCAAATGTTTTTTTTCTTAATTATTAAAAATTAAAAAATCGTGATCACAATTATACGAGACATCCTGTATATTTATAATAATAGATCGTTCTCAATGATAGCAGTAAACACCGCCGATACAAATTGATGCGGCATATTCAAACAACAACGACGATAACTAGAGATCCATGCCAAGAAGCGAATCCTCGTAACGATATTATGTTTTTCAGCAATCGGCTTCCATGTACCTATTTCATACGTTTTTTTATCCTCGCAATTTTCCATTTTCTTTCATTTCTTTTCTTCATTTGCGATACCATTTTTCTTTTTGCAACGATCGAGAAATATTTATCTATAATTTCGCAAATTCGATCATAATAAAGATAAAGGAGGTTAGGTTAGGTAGGTCATTCGTTCTTTTTTACCCTGTTTTATATTTTTCTTATATATTTATATCACCTTATATTCCTTTGTAATGGTAAAGAGATGCTTATTTACTTTTTCATTAGGATTTTTCGCGAATTCGATAATCGATGAAATATGGAAAGAGGTTAGGTCAATCATTAATCGTCTTTTACTTCTCTATTTTTATTTCTCTCGTATATTTTATTTATTTCTTTATTAATTCAACGATTTAGTCAATGAGGAAAAGGAAAAGGAATGAATTATTTCTTATTTCTCTCTTTTTTAATCTTCTCACATTTCATTACATCGCGTCACCTTTTGTTTCTTCCAAATTATATATATATATAATTCTTAAAATTCAAATTTTGAATTATAATTATTTATTCATAGAAATTATTTAATTTAATATTCTTAAAGAGATTTTTTCTTAAAGAAAAAAAAAGGAAAAGTTAGGTTAGATCGTCTTCTCGATTTTTATGGTTAATTAGATTCCGTGAAATTCGTCGGATTTAAAAATGATTTAATAATTTGATTGCGTTTTCTACTTCTTATTGTTCCTCTTAATAAGTTTGAACGGTTTGGATTATTTCCGTGTGACAGTAGAGGATAATCTTAGTTACAGTGGCGAATATCGTTTCGCTCACGCTTCTTTGCGCGCTTTGAATTTGTATTATTTAATTAAAACTTCGTGTTTATCTCGTTTGTGTAATTATTTCAATATTTCGATATTATATTGGTTTCAAAGAGCAGTAGCATTTATTTGTCCTGTTATTAAATAAGAATGAAAATTTGTATATTTAATAATTATTTAATAATTTTTTTTTGAAAGTTTAGTTTTGAATATCGTGTTATCTTTTCAAGTCTCTATTACATTGATTATTTAACATTAACTTTACTTTTTTTATTTTTACTTCAACGCCATTAACAATTAAAAATTTACGATGTAGCAATGAATACAAAAAAAAAAATTTCCTTCTTTTAAATCATCTTAGATCGGTGAATTAATAATTGATTCGTCAGAACAAGATTCTCCTCTTTCGAATTTCTTTTTTCTTTTCTTCTCTTTTCTTTTTTCCCATAGAATTCCATTAATAATTAAAATTTTCGATACTAACGAAACTAAAATTATCCATTTACAGCTATAATTAGATTCAAATTTCTTACCTCTTGAATCTCTTTTTTCCATATTCTCGGCCGAATTATGAAACGAATTATAAATTATCGAATATTAATATTATTAACAATAAAAATTTTCGATATAACCAAAATTGTAACTCAGTCACAACCAAATTGAATCTAAGATTCAAAACGAAAGCAAAATTATCGTATTCACGATAAGCGTTTCAAATTTCGAAATTTCAACGAAAAAAAAAAAAAAAACAATGTCGAAATTATCGATCGAAGAAATTTCCTTCGTTCAATTCTCCCTTTCCTCCACAATTCTCGATAATTAAAATTTGGAAAAAAATTTTCGTTTGGAATCACAGTCGGAATTAAGGAATTTTCAGATTTCCCTCTTTCCAATCACTTTCGATCGAGGTCGCGTAGAATGTGGCATTAACCCCCTCCTTAACCACGTCGGAAATAGAATTTCATGACTATTTGTTGGCGTCGCCCGGACGTCCGGACATGGTAGAGCCAGGATATCGGCCGTAGCACGGTGTACACTGCATCCGTGTAAAAGACGTCTCTGTAAATTGAAAATGTTTCGAAGATCGGAGAAAGGGCGAAGCTTTTCAAGCACGAAGAAACGCTTCACAGTTAGCTGGAGGAATTTTACCGAGTTCTCCAACGAGGATGCACAACCAATGCTGAATCTTTTGTTTAGAATATCTTCCACAATGTCCAAATGCACGAATGAGGATTTTATTGAATTTATCAATCGTTATAAATAATTAATATTCAGAAACAGCGTAATAATTTAGGAAAAGTATTTGAATATACTTTTATATGTTAGAATATAGAGTTATTTTAATTCCTTGTATTGTGTGTGTGTGTGTGTTGTTTTTTTTTTTGCTGAAGAGTTTTAGAGAAAAAAATAGTGTTGTCACGTGATGGCAAAAAAAAAAAAAGATTATATCTTTGAGAATATGAAAAATTATGGTTGAATGGAAAGAGCTTTTTAAAAATTTTATTCGAGGAAATTGTATAATGGAATATATACATATGTATACTATACTCGAGTTTATTTGGATTTTATGAAATTTTAATGTTTCGAATTATTTAATATAAAACGCAAACGTTTATCGATATAAAAAAAAAATCAACACACTCGTCACACAGAGTGACGTTTGAGAGAAGTTTTGATCAATGAGAGAGAGAGAGAGAGAGAGAGAGAGGTAAGGTTAATT